TGAAAAACTGAGGTGGTGAAGAGAGCATACAGTAGATCAAAAGTCTCTTTTGACTTCAACGTTTGAAAAGCAAATGCAGATAAAGGCTCATAATGTATCTGGTTCCTGACTTTAGGAAAGCACCTTTTATTTTCCTTCCTTGTGATACAGAGCTTTAATCCTGCATTAGAATGTGGCCTCTCGGGCTTCATTACTTGTAAGCTAGAGTGAAGTGCTATTAAAAGACACAAAACCAAGACACAGTTTCAGACAGATTAATGGGTTCATTGTGGCAATAGATACAGTATGTCTCCACCAAATTCACCGGACAGTGACTTTCGGAGTCAAATTTGTTTGATGTTTAATTTTTAACATACAACATGTCACACCTGCTTATATCTCATTAAGACATATAAAAGTGATATATATATAAATTCATAAATGTAAAGTAGATCTGAACTTTTTTGTCCCTCTTCTCATAGATACAGCTTTGTGTTTTGCTTTGTGTGATACTTTTCTTCCCGATTCATTTTTCAGCTGCAGCTGCCTTTTCTGTTCACAGCTAATGATCTATGACATCCTAGGGTGGTTTTTCTCTGTAACACCAAACAGACCTGTTAATAGAAGCACAATCTCTTATCTCTAGTTGCTGGCAATGAGGAAATAAGAGTGCTATTTAGAAATCGCTAGTAAACGACTGAGAAGTTTGCCTATGGTTCTGGACAGAACTTTAAACACCTTGCTGTTTTCCCAGTGCTGAAATGCATGAGTTGCATTCACACTGCTATAATTACTACTTAGAAAAAGGAAAAAATATCTTGGATTTAAAAGTAGTAAGAAAACAGTTCTTGAAAAATTAGTGTTTTTCTTTGATTCAGCAGTTTTCTATGTCATTTAAGTTAAGGTTGTACACTTCTGCTAATTAAAATCAACTTTGTTGTGTGAAATCGTAGTACTTTTTACAACACTGATCTGTTGAGTCATACTTGTTTAAAAATATATCTTAATGGATGTGAAAAAATAGAGACGTTGAAGAGATTTATATGAGATTTCTGTTTCTAAATTTTCTTAGCAGTATTAATACCAGTATGAATTTAAATGTTTTTCCATTGAACTGAGAGTAGAGTTTATGAACCCATTTTTCTATTGCAAATGAAAATAAAATCACATTTAATCTTCATCACATTTCTGCCATTATATGACAATGCTTTCGTTAAACTCCAGTAATTAATATGTAATTATGTAAATTGATGACTTGGAAATGACCACATCATTAAACATACGTGAATAGATAGTTAAAGGCCTAGTACACAATAACGTGCCTTTGGTTTATGAATAATTGCCATTGTGGTAGCTTTGTGCAATAGGAATGTGAAGATGATGCATACTGCACAAAGATGGTTATCAAACTGATTTGAATTGACAATCTTTATATTAAGTGAAAAACTGACTCAATTGTTCTTTCTTTAATGTATAAAATAATTTTTGTAGCATTATGCTGAATGATAGGTTGAATTTTCCATTGTGGGTAGTTCTTTGAATCTTAGCTTTAAAATAACATGAGAAATAGGAAAGATAAAAAGGAATCTGATCATTTTTAACTACGGCTAGAGGGAATCAATTCATTTTTAAGTACAAAGGGGGATGAAGCTATATATTTTTTAATCATTTGTTTTTATATTTTGAGGCTTAATTAAGACAGTGGATACAGTTTGTGTATAATATTGTTAATGGTATTATATTTAAAGTGTTACTGAATAGTTAATTCATAGATCATAATTAAATAAGTGGGGTCATGCATTGGAATTTTTCATTATTTGGACTCATGTTTGTAATAAAAGTAAGTTTAGTAAGTTTTACCTGTTATGGAATGAAATAATGTTGGTTGTTGTTCAACTTTATATTTATTTTTATCCTGTTCCAGTCTGTGTCTCGTAAGATGCTATAAATAAACTGAACTCAGACTCAAAGGAGAAAATTATATCCAAACCTCATCCAGCCTTTACAAAGAGCAATTTCAAATGTATTTAGGAAAACAACTATAATTAAAAAGAAAATAAAATGGTCTTCATGGGTTTAAAATAGAGGCAGAATAAATTATATACACCGTTTTTAAACTGCAAATTTGGTGGATATGTATCCAGATTTGGTACTTTTGAATAGCCAGTAGATCATTTACATAATTAAAACCAGGGGTGAGGTAAAAGGAGGTAACAAAGTGACCTGTATTCCTGATTTTATTTTTATAAATAACCTTGTATAACGACTCTAAAGGTATATACATTATGTTTAGTATTAGGAATACATTAAATCAATAAACTGGTAACAGCTAGACAAACATGATCAGCTGAATTATCCTGTTTAGTTCATAAGCATTCCTCTTTCAGTATTGTAGCATATACCACAGTGTGCTCAGGCACAATCACTTATCATGTTATAGAACCTTTCTCCTAATTTTGAAGAGTAACACTGATCGTGTCTCAGATCATTTTTCCAGTAGCATTTATTCAAGGTTCCATGGTGTCTTTGTTGTCAAATTAATATTTTGTTTTATTTACAAAACATATTATTAATTTCCTTATTTTTAATATTGTATAATGGCAGAAATGGCTATTGTCACATTCCATGTGGTACTGTGTTAATGTGCAATTTAGTTTTATGCATATAGTTTATTAAACTATATTTAATTCTCACCAATAAGGTTTCAAAGTTTCCTTGAGAACTGACTTATCCTAAAGATTAATTGTAAAGATTGTTGGATCAGAGGTGCCTATTCATGTGTCTCCAACCTGGAGTAGAAGACATACAGTTATGTAACTTTATTGACAACCCATGTGTGAAATTGAAATACCCTGCCTGGATCAACTATTCACAAGCGGGAATCCCTCTTCAATAAATTTACATAAGTTATAATGAATAAAAAGTATATCTTATTAGGCTAAAAGAATCAGTGAATAATAATATTTCAGATTAAGCATACAGTACATGTCAGTGTTGGAGATAATATCTTAAATCTGTGATTGTCAAGTATAATACATAACCTCACGTCAGAGAGTAATTTAAAGAATGATTTTAACTTAAATTCAGATCTTTTCATTTTTTTTTTTACATATTTTGTTTTGCCAAGCAATGGTCCTAATGAAACAGGAGCTTTCAAAGACATGGGCTTTATGAGAGTGTAATGTCGCGAATCAGAAATATGGGTTTTCGCTGTTCTGTGGGCCCGAGGAGTTAACAATGGCACCTTTCATTTCTGTGTAATCGTGAAAGTGAAAGAACTGGTTGAACAATGATAAGGGTTAAGGGCATTGAAAGGCACTCTTAAAGGAAGTAAAGAAAAGAATTAACAATGTGCGTATTTTAGACCACCTGTATTTTACAAAACCATGTATTTGGTTAGTTTTTTTAGTAGATAGTGCAAGATTAGCATTTTTAAAGTTTGCAGTATAAAGTTTCTAATAATTGGTGGCACCGTAGTGTTTCTCCGTTATCACTATAACTTAGCCCCTCATGGCACAAGTACTTTATTACAGGGTGATGCACAGGTGTCATCTTCAGAGTTTCACATTGTCCTTCTATAGCTCACTCAGATTTGAAAATACCGGTCTATATACTTTACAGAACACTGCTGCAGTCTATTAACTTTAGATTTCCAAAAAAATTGTTTTCTAATTTACTTTTCTAATTTACATCAATTTTGTCGTCAATTGCTGTCTTTTTTTTTTAAATGATTGTTCCATGTTCCACAAAGAATATAAAATAGTGATATAGCTGTTTTTCTTTTAAGACACGTTTCCATGTATTGGCTCTTTGTAATGTTGCCTTCTTGTTTATTGCTTGCATTGCTGTAGCACTTTTCATCCCAAAGGAATCTGAAGTGAATCACTGGGTGGAGCTGGAGTGATACACCCACCTGGGTGGTGCATAGCAGCCACTACGCCCTGGCATGTAGTGGAGAACTGAGAAATTATTGTATTTCACCAAGTGATTTTAATAAAGAAACATTTAGGGAATCATAAACTTTAGCAAGAGTGAAGGGGTTAATTTAATTACCCTTACGAATAGTACCATGTTTTTTTTATTAACTTAGTAGTTGGAACTTTGATGAATGACACCTCCTACATACGTAAAGCATTGCCTACTAATTCTGTGCCATAAGGAAGTGTGCCACCTACTGCTCTACCAAAAGCACTTAAAATACTGTAGCATCCTATGTAAGTACATCCTGCTGTCCAATCATTAGCATGTTTTTTCATTGAGAAACACTCTAGGCTTACTCTATTATTAGTGAAAAACAATGGAGAAAAGGACAATGTATTTAAACGTTCAAATTTGCTTCTCCAATTAACTTAGCGCACTGTTTCAACTCTCACATCATTTTAGAAGTGGGTGGCAAATACATACATCTTCCTCTAAGACATGAGCTGTAGGAGTTGCCTGCCATTTTTCAGTGCAAGTCGCAGTGTCCACAGCATGGGTTTGCATCCTGAGTAGGAGTCATGTGACTCTCACTGATAACACTGCAATCTCACTGGCATCTGGCAAGCTACAGGGGGTTGTTAAAACAGCTTGCTGAGGATACCCTTGCTGGTTTAAGAACCTTCCACCACAGGAGCAAGGATTCAGCTCTCTGAGGTGTGAGCCTCCACTTCGGCAGCCATGGCCACAGTCTGCTAGAGGCCCAGCACAGATTGCAACAGGCAATGTGTGGCCTCAGTATGTTCTCCAAGTGGTGCTTTTACTAGCTGAGACATTAGTGAAATGCCTCCAAAAGTGAAAGGTTTTGCATCAGTTTTAATCTTAATCCTTTCAGTGCCACAGATATTTTGCTTGTTTGTACACTGCAAAGGCCGATGGTCTGCCATCTGCCACTAAAAGGGAAAACCTGTGACCTGCAGAAGGGCTATGCATGAGCTTACCATGACTCCATTCATAATTATATTTCTGCCTTCTACAGCTCAATTTAGTCATGTTTCCTTTTTTACAAAACGCACCCTAAGATAATTTTCTGTCTTTTGCAGAGAAGCTTCCTGGGCAGCACTACATTTTCAGTAGGGGACTTGTTGAAGTCAAAAGAACAGCAGTTAACCCTTAGCCTAAGGTAAGACTTTGAATTTTTTGTTTCCTTTCTGTGACAAAATACATTATGGGCAGTAACTTGCAAAAGTATTCAGACACTTTCTATGGTGTTCCATTTTGTGAAATTATAAAATCATGCATTCTGTATATATATTTAAAAATATAATACTTTATTCAAAATCTGAATTATTAGACTAAAGACTCCTAAGGGTAAGATACGTTACAATAAATCATGCATCAGCATCTGCAAAAACTAAAAATAAAATAAATAAAAAAATGAAATGTGTTAATTGTACAGTACAGTATGCACAGTACAAACATCCACAAAGTCAATATTTGGTGGTAGCGGCTTTAGCTGCAATTACAACTGAAAGTATTTTTTGTACGTTTCTATCAGCTTTGCACACGAGCCTATTGCAATGTTTGGCCATTCATCTTAGCAGATTTGCTCAAGTTCAACTGATGTTTCTTGGTGATTGCCTGTGCACAGCAGTTGTCAAGTCTTTCCACAAATTATCTTCGACGGGGACATTCACTTTCTTATTCTTAAGCCACTCCAGTAGCTTTGGCCTTGTGCTTTGGATCACTGTCCTGCTGAATGATTAATTTTTTTGTCCCAATTTGACGTCTGATGTATGGTTTCCTCTAGGATTTCCCAGTACTTTACTTCGTTTATGTTCCTATTGGTCTTGGAAAGCTTCCCAGTCCCTGTTGATGAGAAGCAGAACTACAGTATAACATAATCCAGTAGCATTCCTAACCATTTTCCACCTTACTTGGCTAGTCACTTGGTGGGAAAGCCCGATCTAGGCAGCTTGTTGCCTCTACCGTGCTTAATGGGATACTAAGGGCCATTGAAATGTGTTTGCACCTTTCTCCTGATCTGTGTTTTAATACAGTGTTATCCCTGAGTGGTTGTGGAAGCTCCTTGATCTTCATGGCTGAATCTTTCCTTAAAATGCACTACCTAACTGAGGAACCTTAGAGACAGATGTAGTCTTAAATTATATGAACTGCTATTATTGCACACAGACAGAACAGATTCGACTAATTCTGTGGGTTGTTATGATTGTGGCAATTTATTATTGCCACAGCAAAGGGTTGGAATACAGCCCAGGGCTGCAGTATGCAATGATTACATTTCTTTCTTTCCGTTATTTCTTTTTGTTTTTTACTATTAATGTTTGGTGTACTTGTGTATTTAACAGATATTAATTGCCACTTCAAAGTCTTGCTTGGGTCTAAATACATGTGCATGGCACTATAATTTAAGGAAATATATTCCAAAGAATATTTCTTTCAATTCGAGATGCCTACAGTTAAAATAGCCACATTTTCTTTGCAGAACCCAACATAGGGCCAATTACTTTAAGCAGATTTCTTTGATAATTAGTCCTGTCTGACCTGCTTTAACCTTTATACTTCTTGCCAATTTATTATCTGTAAATTTCAGAAATACTTTCTGTCAAACCAAACCACCTATCGTGAAAAGTGTTTCAATATTCATCTAAAAATATTTTCTAGCAGAAACAGCAGGTTCTTTTCATCAGTGACATTAAAGAACTCTGCTGCAAAGCTAATTTGCTTAGTTTTAGATTCCCAATAGTATAAGAATTGAAGGCAGGAGAATGTCTTATGGTTGTTATAGTTCTGTTTTCTGGTCTATAGGGTCATAGCCTTAAATCTTGGGTAGGATGCTACTCTAAAGCAAGTTACTTCGCAATAAATGACCTGCTCTATAAATTGGTCTCCAGGCCACCATTGTAAATTAAAATGTGTTCTCAGTTGACTTACCTGTTAAAAAAAGAATCTTAAAGTCTGCGTAATAAAGCCTTTTTGAAATTATATCTTTTGATTTTTGCTCTGTGGTTATCCTGTTGTCATGAAGCCACACTGTTTTGACTTTTGTTTCTGTTGCTGAAGTTCTTTGTCTCCCAATCAATTTAAATGTATCAAAGAATACACATACAGTTGGTAAACTTCATGCTTGACTAGAACATATGCAGTGTACTGGATTGTTATATTCTAGTACAGATATGCAAACTGTACACAGTAACATACACAGTATGCTAAGACCATAATACAGAAGCACTTGTGGCAGATGGCCAAGCAACCTTAATACAAGTTCACAGTGTTTTAATATTTATTGCAACAGCAGTTTAATATTAACATTGCCTGGTCTCAGTCTTGAAGTTATAACAACGGAATGCTGGATCTGGACTGCATGCATTTCCTTAAGGGGTTTAGATGTTTGAATGAATATACTGTAGGTAACTGTAATATCTTTACTGTATTTTAAATCAGCGTCATACTCCCCACTACCACCTTGCAAATCCTATCAGGCAAGCTTGCTCTCTATGCCACAGACCTGAAACTGTGGAAAATTCTTCTGAGAAGCAGCACTTAAACAGCTTGGATACTGAATTCTAATGAAGTACACAATAACAGGAGATCATCCGCAGCACCATAATAGGCTGACAGTGATCATCCTTTATAACCAATATCCAGCTCTATTCCACCCAAGGATCTGTTTAAATGTAATTATTTTTAAAGGGCATAGTTGATGTTTCTAGAATGTGTGTCAGACTCTTTATCTCTGAGTGCTTTGATTTGACCTTTTTATGGTTTTTAGTGGTCTCGGATCTTTTTTCCTCCTTCTTTCCACACAGGTGCAACCAAGTTCCCATGTCAGAATTGTAGCTCACAAGATTGACAACAGATGCTGTCAGACAGTCAATCATGCAGCTTGTTGGCATGTTGTAAACAAACACCTACAATCTCTCTCGGCAATTTGTGTCTGTGCTGGAGAGCTAGAATTGCCCCTCAGCTTGTCACATTTCAGTTTTACAAACTGAGGGAACAAAAAATCATAAATGAGGGAACAACTTCATAAAATTTGAAACATGTTATCAGTGCCTACTTTTTCAATAAGTATAGAATCTATTTAAAAACATCACTACCTGCAAATATATATTTAAACACTGCCTCATCAATAAACTGTTTTTATCTGATGCCCTGGGCTGGGTGAAATATTGCACAGGATAGTGTGAGTTCCTGCACCTTCTCCCACTCTCTGACACTACTATCTTTTCCCAAACTGCACATTTGTTTAAAATAATAATAAAAACATCACCACCACAGCTCTTTTTTCTGTCACACGAAGTTGCAGTTCAATTTGTTTTTATTTTTTTTCTTCAATTAGCTCAAAGCTGACTAAAAGATAGTATAGAAACCTATACAGTATACACAGAATACTGTAGTTTAGCATAGTGACATCTCTTCTCTTCCCCTTGTTTTTCTTTCCTTGGCAGTGCTTCTCTTCTGACTCTTAGTTTTCTTTTTCAAGATTTTATCAGGCTATTTCTAGTTTCGTTTATGTGTCCTTTGTGCCATTACCGTAGTTATCTTTTTGTGCTGCCTTGCAAAGATGAATCTGTGAAGATAAAGGCATGTGTCAGAAATAACGGAAGAATCCAGGACTTGTCGATGTTTAAGATAAATAGGAAATTGTCCTTTAACTATATAAGAATAGTAGTCTATTCAGGGTTTAAATAAACTTTTTTGTAGATGGCAGAAATCTTTTGCTGGGTGTATTTGATGTGAGTTATGCTGATAATATCTTCCAAACATGTTTTCCCTGTGTGCTTTTTGTGAGAGCTCTTTCTGAAGAGCTGCAGTTGTGTTTCTGCTTGTTGAAGGCACTATCATCAGCACTGTGCTACTTCTCCAAAACAGAAAATAAATCCTTTATCTTTTCATCTCTGCATCTGCAGTTTAAACCACACTATCACATGTATGTGCCATCATAAAGTATCTCTCTCGGGGTTATCAGGGTTTCCCGCAGGAATAAACTCAGACCAGGTGGTAACCTGACATACTATAAGTGGCATGTCAATGTCAGCCCTGCCTTCCACCACGGGATCTAGTAGGTAGATTATTGTACTGGCTTGCGAACTAGCTAGCTATCTTTATAATTGTAACTAAGCAATATTTGTGGTCTTTTGACCACAACAGCTAGTTTGATTATATAGATATAATATAAAACTTTGTGCTTGAAATGCATTGCTATTTTCTGTGTGCATCAAGCCACCGTGTTCTTTTTGCTATTGAGGCACTGCTCATTATTTAGAACTGTTTATTATTTATTAAAAGCAATAAATCTTTTTTTTATTTTGAAAACTACGTGGCTTCCACTCCCTTTATTATTCTTTAGAAATGATGTTTCTCACCAGCTTTTGCAAGTGGCGAAGGGAGATGATATTTGTCTGTGACCTGATAATTCAGCTGCGAGGAAACAGTGTTTTATTTTTTTTCTTTGTCAATTACTAACACACTCTTTCCGTTAAAATTAATGTTCATTACTTCACTTTTTTAATCAATCTAGACTTCATGCAAAAGCATTATTTTTAGACCAAAGTATGAGGCCTCGTTGGTGTCAAACTTTAAGATGTATATTTAATCATTAGCATGATGGTAACTGCACCAAGTTGTTCCCTGAAATAAGGCAAAGTTCCGGCAGTGATAGAAAGTTCCAGCTATGGTTTTCTTCCAAAACCACTTAGAAACTTCCATGGATAAACCAGACCATTAACCAGGGGATCCCACCTCTGGACTTTGGATCCAGTAGGTTTTATATGTGTCTTTACATCTTCAATAGCTTAAGGCTGTGGAGATGGTATAAAAAGGCCAAGTAATAATTTGTTCAGTATAGAACTTCTCACAGGTTAATTACTGTTCTTAACCTAAAGAGCACATACAGTACTATTGAAATAGATGCTGGTTTAATTTTTTGAGAGTGTTTTTGTTGGATGTTAAAAAAGATATAATTGACACTGGTATTTGAACAGAGATTTGCACCTGCCTTCTATACAGTACATTGTGTAACAAAAAGCTTTTGTTATGCAATAGTTTGTTTTTTTTTCTGTTGTTTGCAGTAACCTATTGTGATCCTAATACCTAATAATGATATTGTTTTTCTAAATCTCACTGATGTGTCAGACTGTTGGATTAGAAGATGTCCTT